CCTCATGCTCAATGGTTCACTGAATGTTTATGTATGTTTTAATGTAGGTTTAATCTGAGCATCCTGCTGTTGCCAACAGCCTCTATGGTTACAGTGAGGGTAATCGCTGTCCCCTGAAGATTAACTGTAAATGTAATGATGATGACCTTTCCATGGAAACCATTCCTGTTTACTGAATGGCAGAGAAACTCTTTCCATATACATCCTTTTGTATGGGCTTTTACCTTCACCAACAAAGTAAACTGTGGACATGAGGGAGTTTTTCTTCTTTTTCTGATGACCACTGTCTCTGTTGAAACTGTCTGCGCACATTACAGGATTTGGATTTCCTCATAGTCAATTTCTACTATGTGCAATGTAAATTGCAAACAGACCTCTCCGAGCCTGAGATACTTCTGTGAGCTGTTCTGACGCCAATTTATGGTCTGTTTTCACAGCTACAGATGGTCTGTTATCTTTCTCTATGACTGTTGTTTTAGTGTAAAAAGATGGCTAATGAATCGACAAGGTGTTCCTGTTGTAATTCAGTCTAAAGGAGACTTGAGACTTACAGAGACAGTTAGATCTTAACATAAATTCTGCTTGCATGTAATGAGACGCTGATGATTCTAGCAGGCCCTCCTCACATTTCTGTCATCTTACCAGAAGCCAATAACCAAGACAAAAGGGACATCTCAGAAAGTCAGATACTACTGGCCCCTGTAGGACGCCACATATGCAGTTACCTTGAAGTATTGCTCTATTTCAATCAAGCTAACAAATTGTAACTTCTTCTGTCAACAGCTGAAGTAAGACATTCTTCTTCTCCTAATAAATTGATGGAACACTGTGGTCATACATCACTTTGCCGGTATTTGATTTCTAAAATTTGTTGAAGCAGCAACAATATTGACAGCATATTCCTCCCCTGCGAAACCTCTGTGGTCTGCATGGAAAAGAAGAATTAGGAAACCTGGCTTCAGGTCTATGTGATCTCATTACCCCACAAATTATTTTAGTACAACATAATATGATGTCATATCACTCTCAGAAATTTCAGGAATGTTGCTCTTTACACGAGCCGAATGGAGCGAATTTCCCCCAAAAAAACCCTCAGACTGTTTTGTTGAGGTTGGCTCTTGCAACATATGCCTGCGAGATGCTGGTTTCAATCAGGACTTTCCAAAAATAAAGAAAAAACATTCCTGGCTGTCCAACAATTGATCTCATATGAGTTACCATCCTGTGTGTCCTTGGACATCTTCGACACTCATTTTAACAAGGATGGGATTAATTGTAGATCTTTGTGAAGCTTCAGGGTTTCAGGGAATCTTATGAAATAATGTTGGTTACTATTTTATTATAAGATTAGGTAAAACAATCCAGTGGGGTCTTGCTTACCGGAAAAAGTTTATGAAAATAGTTTTACTGGACATTGAATTTGTCAGGGTGGGGGAGAGAGAGCGAGAAAAGGACAGACATATCTGTGGTTGCTTTTAACACCAGATACTAAAAGCACATCCACACTCTGAAGACTCAATATCACAACAAAGCCACTTATCAAACATGTTTCTCTGAGTATATAAAAAGTGACAAACTGATTATAAGCAGCATCACACAGCAGTTCAGTGTCTATATACAATGTGGGTCTATTTGTCGAGTGAATATATCTATTTCATAGCAGATACAGTTGCAATTAAGTAGCCTGGACAACACATTTAGTTGATTATGGAAGGAAAAAGAAGTAAA